GGAAAACCCATACTTTTGTAGTTCTCTGGGGCTTCCCCACAGCATGCATTAACCCCCCGGCCACCTTAGAAGACTGATACAATACAGTACAACAGAAAGGACTTCATCTGTCCAACTTGCAAACTAGGTGCTGGGAAGTCATCTACTCCCTGTAGGATTTGGGCCACCCTTTTCCCCATTGCACAACAGCCAGTCCTGCAGGGATTTGCACCCACTGGGAACATCTGTGTTTTGCCTGACGTTCCCTGGGTCTGTCTATTAGCCCCGTGGGTTTGGCAGCTTCAGAGGTTGCTATGAAGCTCCCCTGACCCCAGGGTTAGGTGGGCAAATGGGTGCTGGAACCTGAAATCCCTGATACCTATCAGTGAAGAGCAACTGTTAAAAAATCTCCTGCCTTTGGTTTTGGTGGCATTTCTTCCGGTTTGCATGGATCTGCACAATGGCATGCAGTACCCAGAGCCATCTACACAAGAGAGCCTTTGAAATGTAGCCTAGCTGGCAGATCTGGTCAGGCTGGGAAACCTAGCTTTATAAGGTTTTTTGTTTGCTTACAAGTGATCTTGGCCACAGACAGGGACACACAGCTGTGGTCTGTGCATGGCTCCATGATCAGACAGAGGCAGGGCTCTGAGCCTGCAAAGGCTGCAGTGGGGCTGAGCTCTTCCAGCTTTATCCTGGTTTAATTTGGAGCTGGAGTTGGGAGAGGCTGCCTTCTCCTGCAGGCTGGTGCCTTGAGGCCTGGTTTGGCTTTGCCTGAGCGGGCAGCAGCATCCATTGCCTGTCTGCGGCCTTGGCTCAGAGCCTGCACATGATGGACACCTCTGCTCGCTCCAGACATGCTCCTCCCGCAGACCTCTCACTGTTAGCAGTAACTCTTTTAATACAAATATCACACAAATACATTGCTTTTCCTCCAGTAATTATAATAGCATCAGACAAGGTGCATGTCTGGAGGCCTAGCATTTCAGAGAGGGCTTTGCAGGTGGCTTTTGTGAGATGTCCATGTGCCAGTTCATGCTGCCTGTAGGGACCCATGTGAGCAGCTATTGGGATAGCTCAAACAGAAATGACACAGTGGAGATTTCTGATGATGCTGATGTGCTATGTGGCAGCCTTGAACTTCAGAAGACCCATGCTGGGGATTGGGTAGAAGGAGCAGCCCCCAGCCCAACAGTACTGTGAACCCAGTATTATGGCAGTGCTTTCCTGCAGCAACGTCATGCTAAAGGATGGTGGAGGGGGGAGGCTGCCAAGAGCCATGACCCTCCAGGCAGGCTCTGTTTCCCAACTGCGTGTTAAACAGTGGCAGACTCTTGCAGGTGTGGGCATGGGGGGAATCTGTTAAATTAAAACCAAAGCGTAACAAGAGAGATGTTTGCTGTGGAAGATAACGTGTACTTGTTCTGCACGCTGAGTGTGAGGAAACTCTTGGACACGTTTTACATTGTGACCACAGTGCACCTTTTGCACTGTGGGGCCATGTAGTTCCCCCTTCTCTCCCTCACCCCTTTTCTTTTAAGAGCAGGTATCTCCCTGAGCTTTTGCCAGTGCCTTCAATCTGACAACTGAAAAGCACGATAAAGAAGCAGCATCTTGGTGGCAATTGTTCCTTTTCCTCCCTCAGTACATCTCACTGTGGAGCTCCCTGACCACACTGACCAGTGGCTTGAGCTTGCTGCCCAGATTATTAAGACGCTTGGGTCTCTGGTACCTGCAGCCTGGTAGACGGCCGGAGAGGAGGGAAAGGCATGCTCCCAGCAAGGTGCCCTTCGGTGGGGCTGCTCTAATGAGCCAGCTTTGTTATCTGCCTTGCTGCTGGTCCCAGAGAGGCTTGCAGGGACGTCTGCTGTTTTACCTTCTTAAAAGGCACCAAATGATGACAGTTAAGAGCCTACCAGGAGAAAATGAGCTCTTAGGGCAGTGTTTCATGTCTTGCTTGCAAGGCTTTATTGGATTAACTTTGTACTAGAACCACCATACACTCCCCTTGCAGGAGAGGCTAAAAAAGCTTAACTGTGGGATAAAAGCTTTACAGCCGTATTTTTGTCAAACAGGTGACTTACATAAAAATATCTTTACATGCATTAATGTAAAGTTTTGGCAAGGCCGCAAAGCAGGCTGCTCCTCAATGATCTTTGTCTTAATGCTCCACTCAGGCCAGTGTTAGGTATTGTAACTCTCTTGCTTTGCTTCTTATTTTCCACATTATGGACAGTGTATTTCCTCTCCTGCACACCCCTTGCAAATGTAGAGGTTCTGTGAGAGAAACACCTGGTGCTACTGTCACCATTCAAGGAGTGCCTTTTTCCTCTGTGGGTACCTGCTGCTTGGCAGCTCCAGCTGGGCAGCACTGCCAGCCTGGGTGAGGAAGACTTTCATACTTTCAGCTACTTCCCCATTATTTACACATGAAGTTAATAACTGACTCAAGAGTTGATCTACAAATATATTTTCAGGGCCATTCTTGGTAAATTTTTACCCTCTCAGCCACAAAGCTCTTGTTTTTTGTAATTTCCTTCCTGTATTTTCCCTTAACCCTAATTTAACATTAATGTGTTAGTTTTGAAACAGCCGGTGTATTCTCTCCCTCTTCTTCTCCCTTACCTTCTGATTCTTTTTTTCACTGTCCTCTATCTCTACTTCTGTTGTTTGCAGAAAACGGCTTTTCTCCTCCCTCTCCCTCTTCACAGCTCCCACCATCTGTCTCTCTACAAATACAAAGCTTTAGGGGAAATGATTCACTAGGCTGCTAGCTCATTACTCACACTCTGCCCATCATGGTTTCTGTCCTTGTAGGATGCTCTTAACTAATGTAAAGATCAATGAATCCTGGGAATTGTTATTCAATTAAAACAAATAATACCCCAGCAGTTAAATAGATTGGGCTTTTTGTACTTCTTAAACACCAATGCTTAGTTTTTCTTCCTCACTCTGCTAGCATTGTTTTTTCAGAACAGGATCACTGAAACAGAAGAATACAAATGATCACTGGACCATTTAATGCAACCTTGTGTATCACATGATGCAGGAGTTACTTAATGAAATTCCCTGGCCCAAACCAAGCAAATCTGTGATAAATCTAGAGCACATATTTTAGGATGACAGCCAAAATGATGAAAGGAATTTACTACCCAGCCTGGCTAATCATTTTGAATGCTTAACTGCACTCCCAAATATGCTGTTTTGCAAGGAGGAAACCTGACACAGCCGCATTCCCTATAGATTTTCCTCCTACAGCCTCTCCCAGGCTGTGCACCCCAAAAGCCCCCTGACCCCCTGCCAGCACTGTCCAGGGGCAGAGTGGCCAGCTGTGACTCTGTGAGCCGTAGCTGGCCAGCTGCCCACCTCTGGGAAGAGACCTCCACAGGCCTCAACCACCACTGCCTCTTCCACAGCATGAGGGCTTGGGGCTAGGTCTTTGCTCAGGTAATTATTTCCATGAAGCTCATTCATAGGCATTTAATGTCTTTGAGCTTCTCCCTATTAAATGTGATAGAGATTGGCTGAGGGGCTCAGAAGCCATTTGAGGTAGACTAGTTCACAGTCTTAAAACACTTCAAACACCAGAGAAAGCCATATTGAGTTGGCAGGTATGACACAGCATCTCGGGAGTCTTGCTTAACCTGGAGGCTGAGCTCAACACTGTAGGGCATTTCAAGTGACCCTAAATGTTGATGTTTAGGTACCCACGTCCCATTCCTTTTGTCTTCACTTTGTTGACCTTTTAAGAAGGATTTCTGTCACGATTTCAGGCTTCTAAACCATAGACTAGAAAGTTATTTTCTTAATTGGAAGTTTAGGTTTTCATTTATCACATAGAAAATGGATCTCTTCACCCCACATGCATGTAAGTAACAAGAAGTATCACTACCCAACCCAACTTTATTGTGCCTTGTCAGGAAGCTGCTGGCAATGTCAGGTATGAACCTATTTCAGTTGTTGAGCTTCCCTTTAGAAACTGGAGTTGTAAGAAATATCTGCAAATATCACAATCAAAATTGTAAGAAAGAATTGACAACACTGGACACACCCTGTCTCAGTTCCCTTAAACGGCTGCAACTCTTTATGCAGAACCCTGCTAAAGGAAAATGTGAGTATATCTGCAATGTGGTTCTTCAGGTTTTTTTTTCATAAGCACCACAAAGCACGCCCTGTATCAACACACCACACTGGCACCACCTTCATGGAAAGCTAATTAAATGTTTCGGGTAATGTAGCAGGAGTATTAATTTCTTGGCTGATTTACTTTTTGGACTACCAAGCACATGTACTTTTTTATAAAGCTGTGTTTGGGTCATTCTATAACAAAGAGAAAGCTGAGGAGGATCTTTGGAAAGAGCCTGCATTGAGCAGGCGTGAAGTGCTCTGTGTCAGAGCAGGACAACTACTCTAAAGAATAAGGGCTGCAGAATTTTAAGCCAACAGGGTCCACTGTTACCTCAGTGTGGTTAAGGCAGTTTTTTAAAGAAGAGCCCTCACCAAAGTCATACTTACGTGCTCTGTAAAATAAAAAGTTCAAATTTTAGCAGATGGGGTGTTGCTGAGCCTTCCACGGTTGCCAATACCCCGTGGCCCTCCAACATCTTTTGAGTATTTTATTGTTCCACACTTCATACAAGTTGTAAGTGTCAATGTTACTTCTCTCAACAATTGCTGGCTTTCCAAATGCCAGTTGTCCTTTGACATGCTCTGTTTTAAATAAGGGCTGAAGAGCAGTAATGAAGCTAGAGGCCTGCTGTAAAAAATACTGCAGCGTTCCATGGTACTGACAGCACACATGTAGTCATGCATTTTGCTCTCCATTTGTGGCCTATTGCTGCAACACACTGAAGGTGTTCGGGGCCAAGCTGTGAGGAAATGGAGCTCCAGAGATTTCAGATCTGAGAGTCCTCTAATTGAAGACAGTATCTTTGTGCAAGACAGGCTAAGGCAAACTTGTGTTACCCAACAGTTACCATTCCTCTGTTGTTCCCAGCAATAATAAAAGCTGACACAATATATAGGGTTCCCTTACAAAAGGCAAATATATTTAATAGTGTATATACAAATTAACTATTCAATAATGCTATACAAGGCAGGAATATCTTTAAAGAAACCCTGAGCAAAGAGAAGGATGTAATTTTTATTTTACACTTATTGCAACATTATTTCTGGTATTTGTTTGCTATATCGACTAATAAAGGAATATGTTAAAAACAGATGTTAAAATAAAACTGGGCATTCTTTCCATGTGCAGCTCTTAAAACTCTAGAGAAGAGAGTTCTGCCCCATCAGCTTCAGAAATAGATGTTTATCATAGTAGAGACCAAGCCGAGCCTGAGTTACCCAAAACAACCAATCCCTTTAGCAGAAAGAGTGTCTTCTGTCATCAAAAAGAGCCATCTGGAAGAGCACTGGCTCCCTGCCAAGAACAACCCTTTAACAACTGCTTGTCGTGCACTTTAAGCAATAATGTTCATAACGGTACAACCTGGAGTGTTGGTAAAGGTCCTATCGGAGGAGCAATGTATTCCTCCTCCCTCAGTAACCGCAAAAGGATGTTCTTCTTATTCTTCGGCCAGTTATAAATGTGAGTGTTCTGCAGCCAGGTAGGCACGTGTTCCTGAAAAACAAGTGAAAAAATAAAGGCATGAAATCCCATAAATCCTCCTGAATCTGTACTAGAACCTTGCAGATTCCATCAGACCCTGCCAAGCAAGATTTCATTTTGTCTGTTCCAGGCACTCCCCATAACAACAAGAAATTCTAATTTGGCCTCAGAGTTGTATCTAGGTTCCTAAATGAATGAACTTTGTGTGATCTCACAGCTTGCTTGTCTCTCTTTCTTTTCTGCCATCACGTTGGCTAATTTCACTACATTTCAAAGGGAGTCTGATCTCAATGACAAGCATCTAAAGGCTTGTGAAAATAAACATTGAGAAAAGAAGGCAGACATCTCAGTGCCCCTACCAAGGAAAGGCTGCCACCTTAGTAGCTGCTGAAAGATCCACACAACATGTTCAACCTTGAGCAGGACCCCAGGGGAGCATTTCTTATTCTGGCAGTCTTCACCCCCTCTCCTTGCACTTTGCTTCACCAAGTGTGGTGTCCTCTGGCCACCTCCTGAGCAGGAGGTTGAGGCTGATGCTGAGCTTGAGGAGAGTCTAATGCATCTCCAGCTGAGCAGAATCAAACCCCCACCACTTTGCATCCTGGGAAAGATGCCCCCTTTCAGGGGCTGGCTAATGCTCATTAACATAATGAAGCTGGGACCACCATGGCCCTGGACAGTGATAGTGGGCTGGTAGATAGGACCCTGCTCTGACCTCATGTTCTCGTGCCTCCTCCACAGCCTTGGGTGGCTTGCATACAGACAGTCTGAATGTGTAGGGGTGAAGGGCCATTATCATACCACTAATTAAAATAGGGTCAAATACTGATCCTTGACCAAAAACAGCTCATGACCACTATGGAGATTTCTTTTTGGAGAACTGTGTTGGAGACACCAGAACAGAAGCCAAAGGGAGACAGGATATAAGCAAAATGAGCAGCCAAGACATCCAGCACTTGCTCCCTGGTCCTCTATTCAGCAGGGCAGTATTTTCCCAAGGTGGCCCCTGTTAGGAGCAGCACAGTCCCTGTCAAGCCAGTGGAGCTAGCTCCAAGAGGACCAAGCAAAAAGCTGCTGGCATGCACCGTGTCTGTGGCACCTTGCCAGGCGATGCCCTGGCATGGGCAGCACATGTCCAGCCTGCCAGCAAACAACCTAACTGCAGACCAAATACTTCATTACGGAGCTTCATGCTTCTCAAATTGGCTGTCTTTTCCTTGCCCTGTATAGCTGTAGGAATGAGGCTGTGTTGTTTCCACTGCCCAGGGAGTGGTTACTGTTCATTGATGCAACTACTTTGTTAGATCTATATGATTTATATAAAGAAGAAGAAGGTAAGTCACCCAGGCACCTACATAACTCTGACCCCACCTAGGCTTCTGAACCAGCAGCTTGGTGCGAGGCAGAGGTATCTATCAAGCCTGGCCCTCCTCTCTTTCTCCAGTGGCTGAGAAAGTATAAGCTTTGGTCAAGGGTCTCCCCAAAGTAGAGGTTTAAAATATCGCTCCTTCAGGTGGACACCTCACTGCCCAACAAGGGTAAGATCCTGCGGCGTTCCCTTTGGTAGGAGCACAAGTAAGACCTCTTGCCTCCACCTGCAAGTCTGGCTTTGCATAGGAATGGATTTTAATCTTTGTGATCTTTACTCCTTTGACAAAACTGTTTGAAGTTGGCCAAGAGATTCAAATGTTTCTGGAAGAAAGAAAGATAACCACATTTGCATGCATGTGCACACTCTTACCACGTAAAATTTGTTTCTTTACTAAATCTTGTTAAAAGCTACAGAGGAAATGCAATTAAATACAGCAAATGAGCCTTCTCTCTGTCTTTGATAAGAAACTACATTTTTTGTGAGGAAGGAAATGCAGTAGACATAGTTGGTCTGGACTTCAGTAAAGCATCTGATATAGATCCACACGGGAAATCATTAGTTCAGCTTGAAAAGATGGAAATTAGTGTGAGAAATGTATAGCAGGTAAGAAACCAGCAAGTGAGGATATAATGAGAGAAGCACTATACATCCAGAGAAGGCTCTATGTCTTTCTTCCAGAACACCTCCTGCGGTCAATTTCATTTAATATCCTCCATAATGAACTCAGTGCAAAAAGCACCTGCACATTAATCATCTCTGGCAATAATTTTAACTTGAGGGAGGTGTGTAGGGGTAAAGGGGTAACTATATCTGCTATTTTAATCCACAAGGAGCGCAAAGTGTCGTTGCCACGTGACACTGGCTGTCATTGCAGGTGGGAGCAAGGGGAAAATGCTTACCACCCTAATATTACTTTTATTTGGCTGTGTATCTGTAAGCCATAAGGAAATTCCCTCTATGCCACAGAGAGAGTATTTGATGACACTAAGGATCAAACTGGTAGGAAGAAGGCAGAGCATTTTAGTGCAGAGGGCAGGGCTGTGCATGCAGGGACGTGTTGGCGCAGCATGTTTTGAGCTCCCCTGGCTTCCCTGGCACCAACCCTGCTCACCTCATCCATCCAGCTGCCTCACCTCTGACAAAGGGAGCCTCCACTGTGAGGAAGTCACAACTTAATGCTTTGGTCATCAGGTGACCAGATCAGGAGGACACATTTCTGAGGACTGGTTCGATGCAAGCCTTGAACCAGCAAGACCCACGTTTCCTTTAGCAGTGTATGATGGGAAGCTGGAAATGCCAGCTCCACCTTAACTGTGTGTTGTGCTTTTCCCCCTCATTATTCAGTTTCCTAATGAACACTCTTTGGATCACACAGTTCCCTTCTTGTTGAAGGTTGACTAATTTTCACATACCAGCAGTGCTTTATGATGTGCTTCATATGAGATTAAGTCATCTAATAGCCATATCCCGAGATGAAACCTTCCAGACCTTGCTTTCCTGCTCTTTTCCACTACTAGCTACAGCAGTACTTGAACATGTAATGGACAATGTAAAAAAGACAAAATGAAAGTAGTTTGTGGGCCAACATCATCCAATTGTATCTATATGTGGCATTTTTCAGGTGCCTCACTTTCCTTTGACTGCCCACAGGCTTCATTACTGCAACTTGCTCAGAGTCTGGTGCTCTCCTTCTACCCACCATGTCCTCAGTTATATTATCATTACCTAGTTAGATGAAGTTAGATGATGTACCAAAGGAATGTGTGGGGAAAGAGAGCAAAGCTCAATGGCAATAGAAAATGACAATCTGCATAATTTAGATAAGAAAGTCACCTCTTGAAAAACTGAAGGGTGATGTGGACTTACAAAGGATGGGCAAGAAGGCTGCCTGGAGACTGATGTTTTGATAGGAGCACCTCAATAAACCAACCCTGGAAATCTCTTACAGATCGCTGTCTGAGAGAACCACCCCTGTATGCTAAATAGTCTTGCGATATATGAAGTTCAGCCAAAATTAACGCAGGTTTGTTGTTCAAACCCCAGGGGCAGCTATAGACCCTCCTGGGCCACCTCTCTCTGCAACCCTTATGGTGCCAAATGGCTACAAGGTATATGGGCTGATTGTGTGGCAGGTGCTCGAGGGCCCCCAAGGTTAGCAGCAGTCCCATCTTTCTCCCCCTGGATCAAGCTGCAAAGGATGACTGAAAATGCTGCCTGATTCCCTGCCTTTGGCCTGCCCAGTTCCCACCAGGGCAGCCTCTCAGCTTTTCACACTTAAGGCAAGTACTGGATTGAGATCATGCAGGTAGGGAGCTGAATGACATGAAATAGCAGAGGTACCATTCATTCCAAGGGACCTCACTTTTTTTACAAACCTAGGGACATGTTTTGAAATTTCCGAGCGTACATTAAGTTGCACCTAAATAAAGAACTTTTTTCCACTAAAATCCACCAAGTGCAGTGGGATGGCACAGCCCTACAATCACTAATAGCAGTTTTTAAATTTTGGCTCATGTTCCAAAGTTTGGGCACCCAAAGAAATGTAAGGAACTTCCCATACTTTTTCAAAATGCACCTGTACCTAGGGGTAACATGACAGCTACCAACAGTGCACACAGCATTTAGCAATGAAAAGTGTACATGAGTACAATATAGCCATTCTGTGTCTGGGGAAGAATGCAATTTCTCAACTATAACTGAAGCTGTTTAACTTGAAAACAATCCAAGAGATTCTCTCAGAGTGAGGCAGAAGAGACAGGAATCTGTTGCATTACTTATTCTCAAATGAATCTTCAAAACCAGCAAGGAGAGCAGATGAAATTGCAAGTCCTAAAAAAACTTATAGTTTGCCTTTGAAGGGCCCATCAAAGTTCAAGCAACAGTCTAGTACTTTGTTATTTATTATCCTCTTTATTTTTATATTCTCAACCCAGCCTCTCCCAGATCCTCACTTCACATCAGTCATAAATCTCTCCCATCTCACTCATCGGCATTACATCTGGACAAAATTATAAAAGGGTTAATATAAAAAGCATGTTTGCTGGGTAGATCGTCTCTCTGCATGTACATTCTTTCGATGCTACAGACAATTTCAGTTTCAGTCGTACAGTTATCATCAGAAATACATTTATGCACTGATTTATATTGCAGATGAAATGTTTTTTATTTGTATGTACATAAAACTTTAAACTCTTCATGTAAGTGTAGCTTTGGAATATTACTAGTGGGATATTAAGAACCAAGAAACTGAGGGTTTGGGTTTTAAGATTTCATCCGGTGCATTGTGATCAAAATAATATGTGCTTAATTATGTAACAAGTATATATGCATGCATGAGTGTTACCTTTCTGGCATGTGGAAAAAGCACAGGGATGAATCTGAAGTTCATGCTTCCTTGTTGTATAAACTCGATCTGCATCTAGAATAGAACAAATTGCCAGATTTATTATAATGACACATTAATTTTTCTTTGCATACATCTGAATCCTATGCATAAAAACATTTGTTGCTTACTTAAACTGCTCTTCTGTTAAGTGATTTGATCTATTGCTGGTGGATTCGGTATCGTTTTGTTTGGCCAGTTAATCTGATTCTTCATTACTACAGAAAAGATACAGGAAAGATCTGTCAACATTGCTTGAGCATAGTTCTTCAGTGTGAAATAATTGTGGATGTAGCTGCAGTTGCAATCCCATGAAATCCATCCAGAACTAATGACGCTGGAGTTGACTAAGGCCCTTGTTCAGTCTCCAGCAAGGTGGAAGATTTCAGCTGAATACTGGCTATGTCCAAACTGGGACCTAGTCTGTCCCCCATGTCCTACCTCCATGTCTGATCATGATCTGAGCCTGTTCCCCATGTTCCCATACGCAGGCATCCCAGTTGTAAGGACAGCAAAAGCACTGCTGTGAGCTCATCTGCTGGTGACAGCTTCTGAGAAATCTGACTGCAGAATCAAACTGGGGAATCTGAGTAACATATAAACTGGGTAACAGGGTAAAAAGGACAGGAAACTGCAAACTGAGGGAGGAAAAGTGAGTTTCATGGCTCTGTGGGCTCTTCTGGGCTAAGTGCCCATCCTGTGACAGACTGCAGAGATGAGCCTCTTTGACCCCCTGACAATCTGCACCACCCAGGAGCTTTCCTTTGCAGCTCTGGCCTTTGCTTTTCAATTCCACCTTTCAGTCAGCTTTACTGCTGCCCAAAACCAGACATCAGTTACAGGATGACCAAAGCAATAGGGCCTGGTTTATAGGAGGGGAGGTCAGGTGCTGTTAGATAAGATTGTGTTCAGGGATATATGACAGAGCAACAAGAGTTCAAGAAGGTAAAGGAGGGGAAAAAAATCATTGACAATAAAGAATATAGAGAAATAAGATGAGCATGTTTAATAGGATTTTTCTTCCTTGAACTTCTTAGCAGATGTTAATGAGCATACGGAGCTGATGAGAGGGAGGATTAATGAATTCCAAAGGGGGCGTTTAACTATGGGGATTAGGGAAAACAAAGCAAAGAACCTGCCATTTGGAGACAGATTTGTCTTTTGAGAAGAAGAGACAGTCTTTGTAAAACAGCAAATGCATGTCCTCGCTTACCATCCTGTGGATGTACTTAGTATGTAAGCCGTGTTCATCCTTGTCCAGCTGGGATTCAGCCCCTTCCACATCCTGTTTGTATTTTGGACTGATTGCTATGATTATCATCACCGTCTTCTGTTAGGGAAAAAAGCACTTTTATGAAATTGGGAAATGCAGCGTGCTTGGTAGAGGCAGATCGGAAATCTGCCAGTTTGTGTTTTAAGTGATCTTTATGTTCTTGGCAAACACGAGAGGATCTCATTCATTCCGGCAGGAAATAGAGGAGAACTTGTGCACTCATTCTCCTCATTATTTCTCAAGATCTCATAATATAGAAAATCTAAATGTCAAGAGATATATTAGCAGCTACCAGTTGACAGTTGGAATCCCTGTCATAAAAAGCTACTTTTTATCAGTGTAGAGTGTCTATGTACATACACAGAAAAGTTTTATCTTCATATTCAGCCCTAAATGTTTTCCAACAGCTTATGCTGTAAAAGTGCATCTTTTTAGCTATGTAAAAGTGCATCTATTTAACCATCTACAGCTTTTTATGTATAAAGCCACTAAAGGCAGTTGTTTATGGAAGATACCTCTAGGGCTCTCAGCAACAGCTCTTGCTGATCTTTGTGGTGGAGAGTGCAGTGGGACATGCGGGCACATTTAGGGGTACCTAGCAGCTTTGTCCCACCTTGCTGCAGTGGGCTGAAGGCAATGCTCCTTGCCGTGCTGGGACAGCCCAGATCCTTTTTCATCCCAGGCCCCCACTGAACTCAGGTTTCCTCAGAGGGTTCATCCTTCATCTCTGGGAAATGCCTTTCCTCCTTAATGGTGAGCCAGTGAAGAGGCTCAGCAGATGAAAGCCTCCTACTTGTGTTTACCTAGGGCCTGTCTTTCATCCCCGCCACATCAGGCTGCGTAAGGCTTCCAAGTCTGTGGCTCACAGTCAGCTCGGTACCTAATTAACTCTTTCCTTCTGTGCAGTATCAAGGGAATTTGCCTCACCACAGGGTCAAATACAGTAAGGAGCCATTATCCCTTACACCAACTTAACATACTCCAGAATTACTTTTGCTTGCGCCTGATATGCACGTAAGCGCTTACAGATGTTGAGGGTTTGCAGAGACATGCCCAGCTGCACACATCCCCCTGCTTGTGTCCAAGTAGTCCCTCCTTCCTCATGCATTTAAGGGTTTTAAAGTTAGAAACTGCCTCCACAGTCAATGGAGCAAAACAAACATTTCTGGGGTGAGCAGCCAGAGAAGTATCCTCATGTGGAGGAAGGGAATCACTCTCTGCACGCACTGGTCCCTCCTACTGACTGTGGAGGAGTCCCAGAGGGGATCTGCCAGTTTGTATTCTAAATGGTAATGATCTTGGCAAAAGCAAATTCACCCTGGCTTCTAGTTTCAGTGACTCCATTACACATGGTGAGCCCAAGCCTAATTTGTCCTGATGAAAGCCTCAAAAGGCCTGACTGCATTGCCACAGCAGAGGCCCTAAGCTGGTTCTGCACGGTAGAGCACTTGAGCTGAAGTGTCTTGCTGGACACCTTTAGGAAACCTGTGTAGTGCTGTCTCAGGTGGTGAGGCTTTCTTGCTCAGGTTGGGGAGAGCCCACACCACTTTGTCATCCTGTTCCCAAACTATGCAAATAAGCCCAGAGTGAGTCAGAGTCCCAGTGGCTACCCAGCAAAGCACAAATGAACTGAAACCACCCCACGATGGCATGTGTCGAGTGACGTAATTGCCAGTTTGTGTCTAGCTGTGCTGGAATAACGGGACCACTTGGCTTGCTCCTAAAGGAGATGTGCGCTCTCTGCTTAGTTGAACTTCAAAGAAAGATGCGTCTGCAGGGGACTCCACTGGCAGCAACATAAATCTCTATTTTACTGCTTGGATAGATACAAACTGATGAGAGGAAATTTATCATTTGACTAACAGAACACCAATTTCAGTTTGCATACAGCATGGCTTATTCAGAAGAACCCTTCAGTATTTTAGACAGCAATGTAAAAGCTACAGGTGAGAAGCAGGATGAACACTAGCCACTACTATGCAGCCTGGGATGAAATACAGGTATCATTTTAACCAAGCATAGATAAACCCCACTACTTAAAAATGAGAGGAAGAAACAGCTTTTCCAATGGCAACTTCAGGCTGAATGTAACAGCCAGCATTGGAATTTGGCAGGAATGCCAGAACTAGCACTTCATTTCTTAAAGAGCGAGCTTTGGGACCATAAGATATATAAGTGAAGGAGATTTGCCTGTGCTCTCTCTGCAAGGTCTCTGCCATTTCTATAGGGGCAGGGAAGATGATAGTAGGGTCTTGCATTTTGATTCTGCTCCTATTGCTATTAGAATAATTCAACCATTTTCCTCAGGTCACCTCTGCCATGAACAAGGTTAAATTGCCTTTACATACATCACCTAGGTACCGCTCCATCCACTTAATGATGTCAATACCTCGTACCGTGTCCTCAAATATATCAATCTGCAAGAGAATGAAAGTCTGTGATGAGCATCTTTTCACCTTTCCTCCTCATTTGGTGGCACTGAAAAGGCACCTACTCTTTTCCCTAGCTTCTAACTGAATGCCTAATTCCCTTAGCAAAGAAACACGTACAAACATAACTACTCCCCTTTACCAGAAGCCCAGAGTTGAGCTGGATGGGCACTGTAGGCAGGTGGAGGGGGGATGCTGCAGGCATACCGCCGGGCTCCTAGTGAGCCTGCCATTCAACCAGGCACCTTGCCCTGCCAGCTCCCAACTCCCAGGCATTTTTTGCTCAACAGAACAAGAAACAATCACTGCTGGTGAATGTTAGATATGTGATGCTTGCAAAAAGGCTTTTTTACCTCTCTAAACACCTCACAAAGGTGGATAGTTGTCCACATTCGCTATCTGTACAGCTGCAAATGTCCACTGTTTTCTGGCTGCTGTGGTATATATTGGGTGTCACGTCTTAGATTCATATTGAACTAAACTTTCAGGGTGTGTAGTGGGAAGTCAGGCAGGTCACTGATACTGATAACCCAGACTTCGTCAACAGCAGAGGCAGAGGACTTCATAGGATAGAATGCAACCAATGCCACTCACTTCCCAGGACCTGGGAATCAGCGGCTGTGACCAATGCAGTAAGTATTAACTTCTCCAAGCTTTTGATAAAAAGTCATGTTATGCTCTCAAGTCTTTTCCCCCTTTTGTTTCCCTGCTTTGGGGCCATTTTGCTGTATTTATTATTCCGCAGCAGGCTCCAAGAATTGCCTGTCCAGCAAAGGTGCTATTAATGAGCCTTCTATTCCATACCTCTGTGGTGTCCAGAGCTTTCTTATGAATTGGTCATAGTACAGAACTGCTGGAGAGAAGTACAGTTACAGTCTCTGGAAAAAAATCTTTGATTTATGAAAATAAATAAGCTTGTGCAAAGCCCCCCACCAAGTCTCATTCAGTTTAATGATAGACACTTCCTTAAATGCTTTCCTGAATTGAAGCCAGAGTGAAGGCTGAGAGGTCAGATAACATATGCACTTGAAATAAGAAAATATGAATCAAGATTTTGATGAATGTCAAATCCTAGAGCCTCTGTGGATGGTTCCCTTAGAGAGGGCCATTATGATGAAGCAAGCTCATGAGAAATTAAATGAAAATCTGGATGGCTTATGGAATTAGAGAGTTGGACACAGACCTTTTCAGGCCAGTGAGTTTAGAATCCCTTTTAAAAGTACAACAAAGCAAATGAAACCATGAGACAGGCTGTTTCATTAAGCTCTGTGAAATACCTTGATTTTAGATCATTTTTAGCAGAAAGGTATTCACATCTGAAGAACCAGCGATGTAACAGCATCACAGAAAAAAAGCTGGGGTTGGACAAACGTGAAAACTGACCTTTTTAATATTGATATTACAGATCAAATAAGACAATGTTAATGGAATAGCTCACAAAACTTCATACTATTGCCCATCTGGTATCTGGTGTCACTAAATAAAATTTTCTAGGGTCATTATTAAAACACATTTAAAGGCATGAAAATTCAGTTAAAACATGAGAAAATGAAAAGGCAAATCATTTAAGTTTAAACTTTTAAAGTCAAGGCTAATTCATCTATTTGCACCTTCTTTAACCTACCAAATGATAAACAAAAACATGTTTAAGTGGACAGTGTATCACCTCTGCTTTTTACAAAATGTCCCTTTCCTCTGCTGGCTGAAAGTCATTTTCTTCAGAACGAATACTTACAGCAGTTTGAAATCCATTTACAAGCAGGAAGTTCACGAATTTCATAACCTCCACTGCTGCGTCTACCGAATAGGTTATAAAGACCTTGCCTAGGAGAAAGGATCCACATGAATATGCAATGCATTAAAATACAGCATTTGAAGGGTGAGACTTTCAGAGCCCTCCCCTTCCACTGCGCTACAGGTTCTGCCCACCTATGCCTCTTCAGATTTACAAAATGGATGGGAACAGTGCAGTGGCTTGGTGTTGAACTCAACCCACTGTACAGAAACCTTGCTCTAGATTTAAGCTCCTACTGCCTTACTGCTGGCAAGCACCCTTGTGGAAGCTGCAGAGGGTACCATCACTCTGTTGCTCACCCTGCCCTGCTACCAGAGCTGCTTCTTCCCCAGCCTGTTAGCATATGTGAGGTTGAGTCCTCATCTAGAGCTCATGTCACCCACACCATCTGCAACCAGCAGCTTTCCCCCAGACCTCATTGATCTGACTGAGAGCTGGAGAAGCCCTTATGCATGCTGTACCCCCTGGGCAGGCAGGATGGATGGCTGAGGATAGCAACGTCTTCAGCTGACCTTACCATTATGGAAGGAGTTTTCTTACTAACTAAGGAATCATAGACTTGCAGTCAGGGTAGACCAGCTGGCTAATCTAATCCAGCTGTGTCTGTATCACAAATGGCACAATTTTATCCAATAATTCCTGCATCTAGGACACACTGATAAAGTAGGGTCTATCCAAGAGTGGTGTCTGGTGTCATAACTCACTCCTACAGGCCAGAGAGATGCAACTCTCTGAATTGGAAAGATGCGAAAAATGAAGGATAAAAAAAAAAATCAAAACCTCAGGAGAGACATAGAGGGCTCTTAGCAATGGCATCTGCTGGACAGCAGGGCATTATGAATGAAGGCAGTTTTCTGAAACCTGACTTTCCCATAGGAGTTGAAGGCTGAAAGCTTTTCAGGGGCTGATGCCAGGGGAAGAAACTCAGCCAGTGCCTGTGCTGCCCTCAGCTCTCAGTGTTGGGCTCCTTGCCCAAAGCTCTCTCCAGTCACCAGGTCAGGGAGGAAATGAGGTCGAGACTCAACAACTTTGTCTGGTTTGGGACAGGCTGAAACACTTTATCCCTAAGGCTTTGTTTGTTATTAGCCCTTTACTGTAAGCTTCAGTGCCTCCTGCCTCAAAGGGACATCCTGTTTAGCAAGAAGTCATGAAAGCAATCTAAATGGTATTTATTTTTTGTAAAAAAAATTACAAGCAATTAATGACAATTATGTTTTCAGGATTCAAGGAGATAATTCCATCCCTCCAAACCCAAACGCTCACACCCTACAGATGCGATGACACTCAGTGTTTTCCTTTCTGTTGTCTTTGTGTCTTAATGTCATTCCCCCTGTCTTCTCCCCCCTGGAGCTTTCCCACCTAAAGCTGTCAGGCTGCGCTGTAAAATCTTGCACAGAACAAATTTGCTAACCACTTACGCAACTCCTCCGGCAAATTGCTGGTTCTCAGAGTTCCCTTGGCTGCAGGGTTACTGAGAGGTCTCGGGACGGCAGCTGGAGATGGAAAATTGTCACAAGGACAACAACATGCTTCATCTGAGCCACATGCCTTGGGGGGCAGCTGGCCATTAGGTAGCTGGTTGTATAGCTGGTTTCTAGAAAGAAAAGCAAGGGAGGACTTAAGAGGATTTCTTTTCAGGCAAGATGATTTTTTGTCTTTTAATAACACACTAAAAACTTTATCTGCACATCAGCTAGGAAAAGTTCTCGTAGAAACGCTTTGCTCAGCATTTCTACTTAGTTATTACAGCATTTTCTGAACGGATACCTTGGTGACAGTATACCACAAGAAGCAGTTTACTGCAGAAGCAACATTTGCCACAGGAAGTAAGTGCACCTCACAGCTGAAAGCTGTTCAGTTTGCAATTAGCAGGAGCAAAGGCTGTTTCTGAGCAAAAAATATATGCTGTATCATGGATATTGTTAGGCGTGCATGGGAGCAGAGGGGCACTTGTGTAACCTCTTCCCATATCTAAAGGGTTCTTCATGACACCTCTGAGGCTCTCAGGATGCCCTGTGCAGCACAGGAGGCACAGTGCGAGGTGGGAACTGGGAAAAAAGGTCCAAGGGCACTCCACCTTAAGCACTGGCATAGGTTGGAGGGTCTCTAGTTTTAGACAAAACTCCAAGTCTGCTAAAGGGAACAAAGTTAATTTCCTGAACAGCAACAGCAGACACAACAAGGGTTTCTCATGGCAGGGATCTGCGCTCCAGACTTGCAATAACATTGCCTAACATCTTCGCCATTGTAGCAAGCAGAGAGAAAGGGATGACTTAGGGAACATTAGCAGTTCTTGCCCTACTACACTTTGGCTTCACAGTTTAAGCCAGTAGGAAGGGGAATCTATTGAGATTTTTATGTGAGGTGTGCTTTGATTCTGCTGGGTTGAATCTGTTGGACAAGTGCTAGGTTTCTCTGACAGCTTTTCCCCACAGAGCAGTGATGTTTAGTCAATCAAGCCCACTCTCTTTTTATTCTTTGCCTTCCTTAAATGAATGATGACAAGCTGGTCACAGCATGTTTTCTGTTGTCACATTAAGATTTGGTTTATTCATTTTGGTACAGATGTTTTCTGTTACAAAATACTCTATAGGCAAATACTACCAACATATAACTGCCATTCTTGGAATCATAATGCAAACACTACGCAGGCAGCCGGAGGACAGACCCTGCACATTCTGGATTTTTTTTAGCAGAAGAAAGTACCAAGAAAAGCAACACGTACCTCATCAATGGCCACAAAAAACTATCATGTGCCTAATTTACAGATCTTCCCAAAACTTCACTTTATCCAACAAATGCGCCAAAAATTAGGAGCCTGTTTTTAAATTTTACTACTGAAAGGGGTACCCACTATTCCTTAATATTTTTACATTTCATACAAGCTTGAGTGCCTGCAGGTACTGCATTATCTTGCTGTCACTTTTCTGTCATAGCCACTAACTTTTCACAGTCAGAACAGTGTGATATTTCAGTCACCAACCATCCCACCAATTCTCCCAGTTTTCTGCCTGTGTCATGTTAAGTGCACATTTTCAAACACAGGTGCCTGTAAGTTTAGCACCTCTGAAGGTAATGTGGCACTTAAATAAAAACAGTCTGATTCCAGATGTCCTCAATACCTGACGCTTCAATTTGTCTTTAGATAGCTGAGTCTAGAGTAAACTCTGCTTGGATAGTATTTTCCATCTGTTAATGACATACTTACAAGGAGGGAGATATAAGGCCTGGTAAATTAATATTTGAGAATGAGTAAAAAGCCCTGGATACAAAGTGCTAGACTTGTGATGGTTTACTACTACATGAAAAATCATAGAAAAAGCTGCAAACATCAATGCAGAGATATATCAGCAACAGATGAGATTTTCTCCCTTTTTCTCTGCACTGCAGAGGAGATAAGAACAAAATCACTGGATGCCAATAACTGAGGTGTCCCAGGCTGGTACAGCGTAAAGCTGAAGACTGCAGTGAGTCACTGAATTGACCTTTGCTCTCAAGCAGGCTAGCTCTAAGGTTTCAACTGAGATATTTTTCAACCCCTCATCCCTTTAACCTTTCAGCATTTATCTTCCTTAACGCACGCATTTCAGGGTGCGCTGTAATAACATATCAGGTATCCGGCTTTGAAGTTCTCTAGGGTAAGGTCAGGACCCTGTTGGGTGTAAAACAGCAATAAAGAAAACTACCCAGCGTCTTGCATGTACCCCTGCAGCCCAAGCACGCTAACATTACAAGGCTTCAGAATTATTGGTTGAAAACCAACAGTCAGGTCAGAGGAGCTTCCACTGTGCACAACCCTCTCTCCTCACCTCCCCCCTGCTGAGGGCATACTTACAGGAATGGAGGAGGACCAGGGGAGGGGCATATCCTCTGGGGTGGTCGGCCTCTGGTGCCTTGGGCAGCATGAAGGTCTGAGTAATTTGGGATGACTTGCTGGGCCGGGCGGATAACTCTCATGCAAGGTCCAGGAACAGGAGGAAGCGGTTGCGATGCGTGTTCAAAATGTTGGTAAGGCGCTCTGCCATCTGGGAGAGTGAGAAAATAAAGGGAGCAAATATCATTTCAGCCAATACATTTTTCCCTCAGTTTGTGTTTATTCCTCTCCAGGCACGTCCTCCTCCATGTCTTGGGAAACCAAGCAGTTTGGAGGCATTTGCAGGTATCTTGGCCTGAAAGAAGCCAGATTAAGGAACATTTTACAGTCTGAAGTTTCCACTTCCCATTTCGCAAGGTTCAGATCCCCACCCTTAGCTAGGCTGCTGGGACAACTGACAGTTAAACACTCAGGGCTGCTTTGTTCCTGCACTTACCATGCCTCAGTGTTCTTTGGTTATTTTTATTTTTTTTTAATTTCTTTTTGGCAATAACTTGTGGAAATGAATCATCCCAACATTCTCATGAAAGCAGATGCAAAATCCTGGAACAAATCAGTTTGCAACACTAAAGCTAAACAGGCTGTGATTATTGTAAATGAAAAGCAAAAAAATAATCTCTTGGTTTGTTACTTCACCCTGTATGAATTTTCTGCCTAAGTGACCTTTTAAAGCCTTGCTGCTGCTCCTGTTGCCATCCAGAAAGCTGCAGGGAAAACCCAAAGTAATAATTTTGCTCAAGTAATTCTGAAAAACCTTACTGTTGTTGGCCACACACACGTAATGCTCTTTAATAACTAACATACAGTGGAACTGTTGGCATAAACTGAAAGCGATGTAAGCTGTTTGTTTCCCCAAAAGGGGAAAACTACTTTTTCTCTCTCTCCCCACCACCCCCCCGTCTTTCTGTGTGCAGTTTTCATTAGGCAGCAGCTCTGTGCACTCTCAAGCTGCTGTGCACAGATCAAAGTCCAGCCTGGCAAGGCTTATTAGCACTGCATGATGATGGTGTTATGAGCTGGCTCTGAAAGCTGCAGTACTCAAACGCTTTTCCCTCCCCAGTCCCTGCCTGTTTTTTTAAATCCTTTTAGTTATTTTGTGGTCATGCTTTCATTTCCCTAGCAGCCATGAGGACTAGATTGTTTTTTAAAAGGGGAGGAAAAAAAAAAAGGAAAGAAAACAAAGCTTTGATGAAACAGTCCAATTCCAGGAGCAAATACTTTAAAATAACCCAACCCCACAACTGCAAAGAGATTCCTGATGAAATTGTGAGTCTGTAGTAACATTTGAGACTCACATTTGTTGACATTGTTTTAAGAGATTTTCCTGCTTCCCCTCTTAACTATATGCAACAGGACAGGGTGGGTTGGAACTAGATGATCTTAAGGTCGTTTCCATCCCTAACTATTCTAGGATTCTATGAAAGAAGATGGGAGAACAAAATTGAAAGTAAATATGGTCTCCTCATGGGTTTCTCATAAGCAGCTCTAGGAAATGTGGTGTGGCTCTGGGAATTCAGTTTGGTTTACAGGTTTTTAGGCCAGTGTTTCCTCAGCTTCCTTTGAATCTATCTGATAATACAGTATTTTAATGGATGCAACCACTGCTGTGCAGAAGCACAGCAAGGCCAAGGGTGCATGCTCGATCACACCAACAGCTTTCATATATAAATATCTGAAATAATGGTCTCTGGGCATATAGCATTGCTGCAAGGATTTCTTTGACTTTTAGAAGCATTTTTGCTGTTGTATCTCAAATAACAGGTGTCCGGAGCCAGCTTAGGGCCTACGGGCACAATTGCTATTCCCCGGGAGAGGCATGTTGCAACATACAAACTGCAGAGCTTTGTTGTGGGTTGCCACTGCCCAACAATTATCTGAAATGCAAGGAGCTGTCAGGAGGTGATTTACGCTGTACCAGGCATGAGAGAAACAGGAGTACAGTTGCCAGCTTCTTGGTCCTGACCAAATCTGCTCCAGCCATCTGAGTTTATTTTCTTCTTTTGCCCTCTGGATATGTTTGAAACGGTAGTGATTTTTTTTTCTAAAGAAAGCCTTTCAGAGTTCCTGCTTAAAAACAAAATGGCCTCATTCAGTAAATGTCCTACTTCTCACGATGTCCGCTTGTGGAGGAGGTAAATGGAGGTAAATACTGCGGGGTGTTGTGCAACCAGCTTTTTGTCTGCTTAAAGCTGAACTGAAAGAAGGTACAAAAAGAAAAGCAGAGGACATTTTGCGAATGTTCAGCCGTAGACATTGATGAAAAGTCCATCTGTAGCCCCTTTATGAAGTCCCAAGATCAGTGGTGAAAACTGAGGCTCTGATACCCTCTGTCTTTCATATACCTAATTATAGCACATTGCTGGAATAACAAAACTCCTTAAGAAGATGTAATATAAATGCTGTGGAGTCAACAGGAGGTTTAAAAAAAAAAAAAGGTTATTAAAAAAAAGGTTATCAGAACAGGCCTACAGTTTTTCATTACAAAGCCAGCCCAAAATGGGATGGGGTCTCACGAGTATAATGTAATATAAATTATATTAAAACAATGATATTGCTGTTAAATGTTCAAAGCTCACTTCATAATAGATAAAAATCTCCGAGACTGAAAAGGAATACTAATTAATAGCAGGCTGTAAACTGTGTTGTAATCTCCAAGAGCCAAAACACCCATATTGACAGTCACATCAGCATTCAGTAATACAATCACCAGCAGCTGAGAGGGCTCCATTTTAAGTAATGAGCTTTCATTTCAGCTGACAACAGAAAAAAAAAAAGAGGATGATGGATGTCACGTTCTTTTCACATAGAGATAAAACACATGGGTGAATATGGTCATAATGCTAGGCGACACTATTTACAGAGATCAAGGGTAACCTCCCATCCTGATCCTGGCAGGAAATTCTCAACTTTGGGGATCCAAGTAGGAGCAAGGACATCTATGAAAACAACAGGAATTAGGTTGGTGTAAGAGGCTGCTGAATGACTGATGCAAGGAGGAAGGAAATGACTAGAATATGAAATAACAGCAGGGAGAAGACTGGTTATGCTCAGTGTGACCGACAAAGGCCAGTTTCTAGGCAAAATCATTAACCTTCATTTGATGAGCAACTGTGACCTCTTTAACTTTTTATCTAGCTCAGAGGTTCTGCCTCAGAGAGTCCATCTGAATAACCTGAAAATCTGGAAATACAAAATGGACTGCAAATAGATGTTTAAAAAGGTTAATAATTACATGCCATGCATTGCCATTAAGTACAGCAGGAAAACACCAGCTTGGTGAATGATAGCTGTGATACAACTGAAAACCTCTGGTGGGATGAGTGGTGCTACTCACATGGGCCCTGGGGGTGCTGCTTTGCCAGGCAGCGGTGCTCAAAGCCTCCATGAGCTTGTGAGGAGGCACTGGGATGGGGCAAGTGCTGGCACATAGGGCACTGCTGATGCTCAGGTCCAAAAAACACTCTGGAGATCAGTGGTCCTGGAAGGTCCTGGGGGTTCAGCATGGACACCAGTGGTAAAGGGGGATCCAGGTGCCTGATGCCCATGACATCTTGTGACTGGGAGTTGTACCCTGTGTCCACAGTCCCCAACTCTGCTGGGGGTCTGTTTCCTGAGTGTTGCTGTGACCGTGAACTCCATTGGCTACTCTCCTCCAGTGAGTCCTCAGGAGCATCAGACAAGCTTTGCTCTGATTTACTGGAGTTGTGTCCAGTGTCAGCTGAAAGCTGTGATCTTGGCTGCACGCCTGATTTGTCCATAGGTACAAGATGCATCTTGGAGGCAACGACTCCAGCTATTGATTCACTTCTGCTGAAGTGCCCATCTACATCAGGATCACTGTATCTGGACCACAGGATGCTGTCTGGCTCTGTGGATGGCACTGACTGATGATCTGCTGGTGCTCTGCAGAGGCATGATGCATTTGCCGCAGGCTCAGGTGTTTGAGCGACACACAGTCTCTGGGATTCCTCATCCTTCGTATCCTCTCCAGAAGACTGCAAAGCCTTTTCCAAGATATGTTTGGGAAATGGGGACCATGGCATGGATTCATCTATTTCAACCGGTATGCTCTGACCCACAGAAGTGCCTGAAAAAGTAGAAGAAACACTGTAGATGTACAGCCATACAGACAAATGCCTGTCATTAGTCCTCACTCAGTGACTTTAAGATGGAATACCATAGACCAGTACGTATTCCTTATATTCCTTCCAATATGTATTCTTTGTATTTTTGTGGTTTTTAAAAAGACAGGAAGAAAGCAACAAAAAAGGTCTGTTTGAATTTTGGCAAAGCAAGAGAATAGAGGGTTAGATGGAGTGTGGCTAGCACAGAGTTACATTTTGGACTAACCTGCCACAGAGGCCATTTCCAAGTTTTGTAGTCACACCAGAAATGAGAGTCAGCTGCCTTACTGCAATGCCAGGATTTTCCAGCAAACTGGAAAACAAGAGAAACAACTATTGTGAACATGGTACAGTTTCACATAGGCAATAATCCTAAAATAACTCCATCTCAAAGACTGGAAAAGAAATACCACTCAAAAGTTCTGGAAATCACATTGCGCAAAATAGATGCTTTTATGGGATTTCTGGAACTTAAGTGTTCCTGTTGAGACTGGAGGGGGAAAAGCACATGAACTGTCTCTCAGAGGTAATTTCTGCACCTGACGAAAGAGCAGGCTATTTAGTTCTGGAGGTTTGGCTCCGGCATATTCCAGGAAACGTAATCATTTGCAACTCTTCTACTCCAGACCTAATAATAGCTTCACATTGATGCTTCAGCTCTAAACTTTACCACATACCCAGCTGAGTCATTTCACTCCAAAGCTTGTTCCCAAGAGTTGCTGCTTATTTTATCAAACCACTTCATGCTTGAGCCATTTTTCTTCTATCACACTGGAGAAGCTAAAATCACCATCAGGAGAGTTATTAGCAAAGAATGGAATAAGCACTCAAGCAATGGGAATGACCATTGGCAACAGAATCTGGCTTGAAAGCCTGATAAAAAAAAACAAAATGACAACACATTTGAGGAACTTTAGGTAACCCAAGGATTTCTCCCAACTTCAGTCACAGTAGCTTGAACAGAAAAGTTAAATGAAGAACACATTCAAATGACCACAGTATTAAAAGCAGTTGAACAAGATCACAGAAAGGTATAAGGCAGTGTCTCAACCTTCACCCTGGCTCTCACAGCAAGTCCGTAAAAGCAAATGATGTGCCCTGTGCTATAGGGCAAGAGTGAGGCTTTACTCCTGAAACTATCTCTGGCATAGAAAATTCTGTGTGTAGCATCTGCTGGGAAGCAGGATAAAAACTTCTTTGCTGCTGGGCTGCAATGTAAATATTCCTCCTCTGTGTAATTTAAAACTCATCTATGCAGAAGATTTACCACATATTCATACATACCCCATGTTATAATAAGCACGTTCGCAGGGAGACTTATCCCGCGATAATTACAGTGGGATAATTATGCTAGTAAATTTTCCCATGTAGGCAAGTCCTCAGAGCTGCTATTAGTTGCATCAACACAGTGACCATGCTGCTCCTCTGACAGCTGCAGCCCCCTGCATCAGAGCACTGGGTCTGGTGCCCAATCAGCTCCTTCCGATACAAGCACCCATGCTTGAAATCCTGACATCCAGCTCACCACCATCACACACCTCTCCCTGCAGTTTTCATCCTTTTTCCTCTATGCCATGTCACTAAAGTCGGCCTGCTAGCTGAGTCACAGTTCACTAACAGTCATAAGTGCTGTGCTGGGAAAGGGAAAACCTTGAGCTCTCATAATGAGCACAGGACTGTGACAGGAACTTGTGCTGTGCTGTTGTGTGCAGCACTGGCAAACCATTCCTTACCTGGGACCTTTGGTCAGATGGCAGTTTAAATTAAATGGTGGCTGCCTTGTGGTGGTCACTCACCAGTGCAACACAACACAGTGCAAAATCAGATTTACACAAATCAGTGCAAAGTTGCTGAGTGGTCCCCAGCCAGACTTAAGAGGAGCATCTGCAAGGTTAGGTGTCAAACTCCCTGCAAGGCATCTGCCTCTGTCTCATCTCAATAGCTTTGTAAACCTGACCCTTGGTTCATCTGGACTCAAAGTGCCAGCTCAGATGTGCTTCAACTTGTGGATTAGCTTGTCCATTAGCTCATAAACTGAATGACTCACACTGGAGCAGCTCAAATCACATTGCAAACTCTTATTCTCCTTGCTGAGCACCTCCAGTGAACTGGCTCCTTGAGCAAAATTCACCCTGGCATTCACAAAGCACAAGCTCAGCTGTGGGGTAGAAGCGCACAGCTCTACCTCTTTAGCCACACTTGTTGTCTGAGCATCCCTCTCATTAGATATAATCCTCAGCAAATATCCAAACATGGCTTTTCAGAAATGAATTTACAATGCCTCATACACTAGCATGCTTCTTTGGTGGTCTCTGAAGTAGTGATCAAAATGCTAAATAACACTTTGAATTCAGATCTTCTATATTCAACAGCCTTTAGTTCAGCACATGACAAGAACAGATTTCTGTGGAGAAATTGAGAACTCAGTCCAGAGCTCAGTGAAGTAAATGGAAATCTCCCTAATGACTTCAGTAGTTTTTAGAATGGGTGTCAGATGGGATTTGGAAGTTAATAAATTCCTTTGGAGGCTACAACCTCCAAAGTTTTTTGTCTTTTTTTTTTCAGTTCCATTGCTGACATCTGTCTGTCTGTGAAACGGATCATGCACAGACTGTGAACCTAATGAGAGGCACAACCTGGGCAGAAAAAACTCAGACTTGTTTTCTTCAAGTTTGTCATTCATTGTATTTACTCTGCCTTTTGGAGGAGGGATATTAAGACCTTATTAAACTGTATTTCAAATTATCAGCTACTAAACTCTTCAGAATAGTTTAACATGTCTTTCCTACTAGTTTAGTCCTCTGAACGGATGAATGCTTCTTTAATACTGAAATCAATATTTAAATGACAGCCTTATTTCTTTCCTGTGTAACATGAGCTAAACATTCTGAAAATTCCAAAAGAATCCAAAGATCTGAGTAAAAATAATTTAGTCAGACAGAAGAGAGATCTGACTCCAGCACTTGTGCTTTTACCTGCAAAAGCTTCTAGGGCTTTTTAATATGAATTTGCAGGATAGCTGAGCATGAAAGCTGAGTTTTGATACTCATGCACAGCCCTTGCTCCTGTGGGGCTGAGGTAGGAGGCACTGAGGGGCTGAGGGCTTTGGTGTTAAAACAGACACATCATTAAAAAGGAGGAAAAGTGACTTCATCCTCCTCCTCCCTCAGTAGCTCTGGTTGGAGAGAGAAGTTGTTAAAACAGCAGAGCTCTGTAGGTAGATATGGCCCTGAGGATAAATTAACCCCAGGACATGCTGAACACTTTTTGAGCAATGCCGGGAATGGTATGTGGATGGGAATTCCCGACAGAAATCCCCACACTGCTTTGGAAATTTTACAGATGATTCAGAAACATCCTCCTCCAAAAGCAGTGCTTCAGGATGTTGTTTCTGCTCTGCCGAAACAGGCTTTTGGAAAAAGATGCAGTGCTGAGCCCATTATACTGTTATTTTACATTGCCTCATGCTACAGTTTCATTAGGTTTCCTTTGACTTTTCTAGTTAGCTTATCTTGCAAATATAGTTATTCACAGGACAGAAAAATCATTCACTTAGATCACCCGTGTTGAAGAATTAGGGTAAAGGAATGCTTCAGCATATTGAAATACCCTTAGAAACCTGTAGCCTGATCCCTTTTCTGGCACAGAGACTGCTGGAGAATGTAGAATGTGCCCAATCTCATTTCCAAAGATACTGCAGCTTCAAGTCAGATCATGATATTTCCAGAAAGCTTTGAGAATTTAATATCCCCCCTGCACCTATGACTATGTAGGAGATTGGTGATAACCAGCTGGAGCTGTTGAATATATTCCTGCTTGTAATAAAGTGGAGGCCCTTCTTAAAAGGACAGAGTAGCCAGGCCTGGACTGCTCTCAAAAATGTTGAGGGAACTCCGTAAACCACCCTTTCTTCACCTCTTCCTTCCTGTGCTCATGCATCCAGTTCTGCAATGTGCATTAACGTAGCAAAATAACCTTTCTGGGTGGGTGCTCAGTGACTCAAGCTCCTGGGAAGAAACCTTATCCCAGGTCCCTTGTGAGCATTCCTACAGCTGGAGAGGTTCATCCACTACTCCTGCTGGGTGGGAGGCTCACCACTCCTGGGAGAACATAAAAGGAGAACAAATTTCTCTGCAGGTTGGTAGAGATAAGCCTGAGCACCCAAGTTTGAAGGTTTGAAGCAAGGGCCAAATCTCCTAAAAACATGTGATGGAGGCAAGAGGCTGAACAGGGAGAGGAAGGGTGTTAGGCTCAGGCTCATTTGTCCAGTTTTCTCATGGCTGATTGCAAAATCTGTCGGGTATTTCATCTGTTTCCCAGCACAAAGACTTGTCAGGATGCACTGTCCCAAAGCACACAACTAACCATCTATCTGCTTTTGATTAGAAAACTTCTGTCATGAGGAAACAGAAGAGTCTCTGCAACACTAGCATAGCTGTGCTTCCTGTCTCTTCTGGAGAGGGAGACAGTATCTTTTCTCTTTTGATCAAGGTTATGTTTGTCTACATTGTTAAAAAAGAAAATACTAGGATGAAAAAGAAATCTCACCTTCTGTGGTGCAAGGGAAGGGCTTTTTATTCATCACTCAAAGCATTTCTGAAATGGCACAGGTATAGATCAAGGCAAAGCTGGGATCACAAAAGGTGGGGCTGAACAGGGATTTCTTGATTTCCAAATATTCCTGTGTAATTTGGATGAGTCCTTTAAGCTCCCTGATGCTGCTGATATCTGCCTGCAGGATAGGAGTACATAGATGCAGAATTTTAAAGCTGCCATGAGGATGCATACATTGAGATTGCAACAAATGCTGGTGCCATGGGGTCAGATAAGTGTGTGTAAGTACTCTTACTTTAAGTGCAACTTTTTCTACAGAAACACTGGACATAGCTTTCTTCAAAAAAACTCAGAGATAAATCCTTTTAGGAAGAGCAAGTACATATATCGGAACTGCTTTGGGAACTAGATGATCTTAAGGTCCTTTCCAACCCTAACGATTCTATGATTCTATAACCTAAATAAACAGACAAGGAAATCCAAGCGCCAGAGTTTCACACTTCACCACGAAGAATTTTGGCTGCTGTCATCACAGAGGCATATCCTCTCCTTTGGGTACCCTCTTCATGAAGACTAAGGCAATGTGTCACATTCCTGGCCCAGATTTTAAGCCCTCTAGGGCAGGTAATGTTTATTTTTATGACTTCTGGTAAAAGTAGAAAAAGAACATGAAAACAACATTTCAACAGTGGTAATATGGTTGCTCTTACATAGTTTCTACATTCATGGCATGAAGGTCTACATATGCCAGGAAAACAGGAGAACATCCTTACAACCCTCCCTGCATGGCAAACATCACATTCCCTTTTGCAGCTTTCATGTTGCTCACTGGGCAATCCATGGTGCAAAGGCTAGAGTAGACCTGATATTTTTCTGCCTTTTTAGTGTAGACTTTGATTTCATAGAATCACAGAATGGTTAGAGTGGGAAGAAACCTTCAAGATCATTTAGTTCCAACCCCCCTGCCATGGGCAGGGGCACCTTCCACTAGACCAGGTTGCTCAAAGCCCCGTCCAACCTTGCCTTGAACACTGATGGGAATGGGGCAGCCACAGATTCTCTGGGCAACCTTTGACAGTGCCTCACCACTCTCACTGTAAAGAATTTATTTGTAATGTCTAATTTCATTCTACCCTCTTTTCAGTTTAAAGCCACAATCCCTTGTCTTGTCACTACATGCTGTTGCTAAAAGTCCCTCTCCAGTTTTCTTGCAGGCCCCCTTCAGGTACTGGAAGCTGCTCTAAGGTCTCCCTGGAGCCTTCTTTCCTTCAGGCTGAATAAGCCCAGCTCTCTCAGCCTGTCTTCATAGGAGAGGTGCTGCAGCCCTCAGAGCATCTTCATGGCCTACTTTGCACTCCCTCAAGCAGTTCCACATCCCACCTGTGTTGGCAGCTCAAAGTTGAATGCAGTACCACAGGTAGGGTCTCATGAGAACGGAGTACAGGGGAAGAATCACCTCTCTCGACCTGCTGGTCACACTGCTTTTGATGCAACCCAGGATATGGTTGGCTTTCTGGGCTGCGAGTGCACACTGCTTCTTGTCAATCAATGTCCCCAAGTTCTTCTCCTCAGGGCTGCTCCATTCATTCTCTCTGCCCATGACATGTACATGTAGTAGGAATGCTAGGCAATAAGCAGTAAGAAACTAAAAGTGCAACACCCTTAAGCAGGACCCAAACAGGGATCTCATATATAAGCAGCATTTCCTGCCAGTTTTCTAATCTTTGTGAAAAACAAAAATGTCTGCAATGTTTTTAGGTATTCTTAAAAATGTATTTGTTTGCCAGAGATTACATCCCACTCATTTCTGATTATTATAAAACTCCTGTAGACATTGAATAACCCCCAAACTGGGATATTGCATGGCTCCGGGACATTTAAATATCCTGGCACAAAATTGCAGCTAGATAAAGGGGGCTGGACAGGGGGGACCACACTGAGGGGAGTAAATCTCCCCAGCTTGCTTTCCTATAGCTTTGTGCCTTACATTGGAACCTCCAATTCCTAATAAATGAGAACTTCTGGTATTTTGTGGGGCTGATGCATCCCTCGTCCCTCCCTGCTCTCAGGGCATGTGGGTGGTGGGAGGGTGTGGGGAAGCCTGGGGGACCTGATGTATCTCTCTGGCAGCGTGAGAACAGCCTCTCTCGCCTGCTTTCATGTACTGTGCAGAAATGTATATATGTTTCACACGTGTACCCTCTGCCAAACTTCAAAAGCTGCTGTGGGGGGTGTAGGGCACTGACAGACATGAATGCCATAATTGCACATGCCGTGTTTCCTGCCTTACAAAGACAAAAGAAAACCCAACCCCATTAAAAAAAAGAAAGAATAAATAAAGAACAGCATTCAAGACATTGTTGGTGCTCAGCAAGAGCAAGCCCAGCCTCAGAGACTGATGGCACTGCATGCTGCAGCACAACTGGCAGATGTTCCCAACAGCCAGTGGCAGTGATGAGCGATCACAAGGGCACCATTCCTCCTGCCTGTGCCCCTTGCACCCCTGTCTTCAGCATCATCCACTGTGGGACTCACAGGCCTGTCCTGTGTGGCAGGACATTGCTGACTGCTTGAGATGGCATGGATGTGGCTAGGCCAGGCCTTGAATGGCCTGGGGCTTCCAGGAAATGGAAATTTCTGGTCTGGTGGTTACCGGTTGCAGTCGAAGACCAGTAAGCCCACTGTTGTTCTCACTGCCCAGCTGCTCAGCCAAAGCTAGCCCTAGAAAAGTCGCATTCTGAAACAATCAGCTACTGTGTGAAATGGGAGCAGGTTTTACATGGCTGATTTTATCCTAATTAATTACCCACTATTTCCATACCAATGTCACGCAGAACTGTGCCAAAGGGGTCTACAATCCTGTTTCTTCACACTTCACAGCCACCTCTCCCTCACTAGGTCTGTCCTATATGGTCCTGGAGCAGCTGGAGGGGAGACAAAAGGGAAAGGAGAGGAATGAGAGGTGGAGAGGGGGAAGAAAAGGGAAATAAAAGGAAAGAAGTGCAAGAGGGAGAAGAAGAGCAAGAGGGAAAAGAGTGAGAGTGAGAGGACAGAAGAAGAGAGCTGTCAGCCAATAAACCACCTTGAGCTTGCACAGCCGTGCAGGGCGGGAGCGGGATCAGGCCTGGCTGCCAGGCATTGCCAGCCTGCTATGTAAATAGGCAGGACAACATTTCGACACCAGGCGTGTCCGTTCCCAGTGTTTACCCCCAAACCCTCCTGATTTAAAAACAAAACAAACCAAACCAAACAAAAACTTCAATGAAATGGCTGAAACATGTTGTAAACATCTGGAACTCAGGCTATCATCGCACGAGAGAAGGGGGAGAAAGCGAGTGAGACAGCAATTTGAGGGGGAAAAATGCCCACTGAGAGCCAGAAGTGGGACAACAGCTAATTACAAACAGGGGCTGAGAAAGGAAGCATCTCTAACACTCCTTACCTTGTGGGCGAGGGCTGCTCACGTTGAGCTGACCAAGGAAAGCGAGAGGGCTGGAGTGCCTCCTGCGCACGCCGCCGCGCTCTCGGCGTGCCGGGGGCTCCTTCCTCAGCCGGCCGGGTGGTTTTTTCTCTTCCTTTTACGACACCCTCCCTGCCTCTCCCAGGTAAGCGGCAGAACTGGCTCTGCAGCAGGAAGTGGAAGAGGCATGCACGGCACGGCGCGGCACAACGTGGCGGCGGTGGAGAGGGAGCCTCAGGGGGGGAGTGACACTTTGAAGCTTAAAACCCTCTCGACGTGCCTGCGTGTGGCTCGCTCCCTCTCTCTGAGAAAGCCAGGCTGCCTCTGAGTGAGCCCCCCCAGATAAATAGCTGTAGGGAAAACCCGGTGTGATTCCTAAACAGTGCGCCTTGCCGGGAAAGTCATCCTTTGCTTTCGTCCTCAGTCGCTTGCTGTCAATGCCAAATGTTAAACCAACTGTGATTCAGACTACTGAAGACAATCACATGATGGGGATAAGAACTATATGGAAAAAAACAACAAAACAAAAAAAAAGGATTTTTCCCGACTTTTTTTTTCTTTAGGTTAGACTCCTAGGCACTTCCAAGTTTCTCTCTACACCCCCCAAGGAGTAGAAACTCGCTTTTCTTACAAGCTGACACCCTTACGTATGTGCACAGCTCTTGAAGGCTGAGTAGCACTGGTGCTGATGGCACAGTGTGGTGGGGTTCAAAGCCGTGGCTGCTTTGTTGGTGCAGTGCCAGACTCCACAGCAGCAGTCCCTCGTGTGCCCGCTGGACACAGCTGTGTGTCCCAGCCTACACTGCTCTCCTGACCCCCCACTCAGCACATCTCCCTGCCAAGAAGCTCTTCCTGATCTTTAGCCTACATTTTCTTCACTTAACCCTGCGAGGAGTCTGACTTGTCTGCAACTTGTGCATGGCTCTTCATCCTCCATGGGCTGCCGTCACACACTGCCTTAATGCCTGACAGGCCAGCCTGGCCACACAAGGATGTCCAAGCCATAGCTGAGCTCTGAGCTCGGGCAGTGCCACCACTTCTCCTTCCTGCACCCTTCTAGACCCTGCATCCTGGCACTAGGTTCTGAGGAGGGAGTCACCTGCCTGGCATTCCTCCCTGGGACCAGCCTTCTCTGGGAACCTGCCATTCTGTCAGCCCCATGGCAAAGCCGTGACCCAGGCACGCACTTCCTCTTGCCAAAGAACGACTGCCCACATTTCTGGTGGGAAAATTCAAGCGGCTGGAACAGCACATGCCCTAAGCCAAACACTAGATACGATTGTATTGGCAGCAGTGCAGTGATGCCATGCAGCCTGAGCCTGTCTTCCTCCAGGAGAAATCCCATGTCAGCCTGACCCACCGACTGGCTATCCTGACCCCTTCCTTCCCTCCCTCCTTCCTCCCCCACTGAGGCACAGGCCATCAGGACACCAAGGCTCCCTTTTGGTGCATCCCAAAGTTGTCCTTCCCTGTCCACAGACTGCCTCCACAGTCCCTGCTCTGTCAGCAGGTCCCAGCCTGACCCGGCCGTGACGGGCAGTTGATGCTTGCGGCAAGAGTGGCTGCATTACAACCACAGTTGTTTGAGTCAGCTGAGGGTTTAATCCCTCTGGTTTGCAGTCAAGCATGGCAGCTCCGCTGCATGCCTGTTTTGCACCATGAACACCCGTTTTCCACAGAGCTGCCTGAGCCATGAGCTGCAGAACACCCGTTTCTGCCTGCTGCCCTGCTCCCCAGCCTCCCTGACAGCCTCCTGCCTGGAAACAACAATGGCCCCACTGCAGCCTGTGTGCCACAGTGGGGAATGGCAGACCAAGGACATGCAGGAGCCAAAATCAGGACCTTGGTGAACGTAGAGAGGATGGGAGCAGGGAGAGAGAGCTGCTCTGAGGAGTGCCTGACCTTCCTTGGGCTTACATGAAGGACTGATGTAGTGTTTGCAGTGTGTCGATCAGCTCCCCAGGGAGTGCGGGCAGTTGCAGCTGGGCATGGGAGCTCAGTGCACAGAGTATCCCATGGGGATGTTGCATCTATACCCATATTTGTGGGGTTTGTTAGTAAAGGGCTGAGCTGTGTAGCCAGCAAACACCTCTCCCTTCACGCAGTGGAGTGACCTTCCATGCCAACAGCAGTTACACTCAGTCTTCTGTTATCCATTGGTCATACCCTGAACATGGGGCTGTAACACCCAGCATACAGCAGTGGCCACCTGCCTTCCCTGTAGATGGTTGCCTGTTGGCCAGAGGAGGGAGGTTGTGGCTGTGACAGAAATGCCCCTGCTAGCTCACTCAGCATTCAGGCCTGTGGGCTTACTTCCATCCTGACCACTCGTGCCTAACTTCATTTGAAGGGTATTTGTGGCCCAAAGAAAGGAGTGCAGAGCAGCCTTCCTCCTAAGGACACGATGCCTAGGGAATACACTGTGAAATCTGGCCTTGTGAGCATTTCCAGGTCCAGAAATCACACCTATGGGCCAGCCTCTCCCCTCTCTTTAACTTGCCAGACCCCAGAAACCAGCAGGTGCTTGAGTCTGCTCCTCTCACTTGAGCTTTATATACTTTCTTAGCAGCCTGAGAAACGGAAAAAAAAAAGACCTTGAAAGACACTCTCTGCTGGCTGTGTGAGCAGCACTGTTTGCAGACAGGGTCCAGTCCAGTCCTAAGTACTCTCCACAAAATTGTAGAAACTGCTATCAATTAACTTGGTTTTTTGGATCAGGAAACTCGGAGAACATATATCCAAGTTTATTTCAGCATTTCAAAAGCCTCTCCCATCCCCAAAACTGAGGCCATCCTAATTGCTTTATGAAGGCCTGTTTTATATTTCTGAGGTCTTCATGTTGACTTCACTGAAATCTGGATCAAGCTCTGAACTCTTTAAAGTTAGTATCTCATCTGTACATTATTTACAAGCAGAATGTGATGCATCACATTGGGCCCATCATAGAAAGTACAGATTAATATTCAAGTGCAGGATGAGTGTTTTCATTGGCAAGGCAACTAACATGGAGACTTCTTATAAAAAGTGGTTGCTAGTTCTTCAGGAGTTGTAATATTTCTTTTTTGATTAGCTAGATAATGTCAACTTCAAGTGCTGCTTTCTGTATTTCCTACCACATCTACAGATTCAGAGAACTAAATCATAAATGTTTTCGCTTCCAAATGATTAACTGTTCAAATAAAGCACTGTCATGTTGCTCCACTTTTAACATTGGTGCTGTGAATTAACCTGGAGACATTGCAATGAACATTTATCCCATTTTAGCTTAACACACATGACACTTTGCTTCAGTCCTCTAGATTTGGCTTGCTCCTTGCTGCTTCTCTCTGCTTTTTGCAGAGAAACTGGGGCTTTCTTTCATGTCTTGCTGTTTAGAGTGCTAGGCACATGCCTAAAAAAATAATTTGCACTTTTTCCTTCTTTTTTTTTAAGGCTCTTGCTTTGGCATTTTTCAGTCACGCCTTGGAGAGACACCCGAAAGGAAAGAAAACAGTACCTGGATGTTAGCTTGTGCAATGTTTCTAATTAAACCTTTCATAATGACAAAAACCCTCCTGCCATTTGCTAAGATTTTCCCCACAGCATTATGCATGCTCTTAATTAAGAGCAGAAGCTAAGTAATACCTATTTCATTCCCTCTTGCTTCCAATTAGTCATCCATTGATCATTACCCACCCAACATTTGACAATTAACAGAGCCCCCACTCTCCGCAGGACTGGGATGTGTAGTCCTTCAGAAATGACACGTCTAGAATAACGTGAGGGGAGCTGTGTGGGTGAGTAATGGGGCGAGAGGTAGGGGGAAGGGGAGGAGAAGGCCACCCAAGTGGAACAAAAGACGTGTAACATATGCAAATGTTCAGTATGCAGTATGTGTTTTATACGCTGGATGTATATGAGGTCATGTACAAAGCTCAGCTGGCGGCCGTGCTGCTTTTGGGAGACATGGGAATTTGAGGGAACACTTGAGCTCTCATATGATCAAATGTACCTAGTCCTCTGTCTTCAAGATGCAAAGTGGTTCCTCATTTGGCTCTTTGCCTCTGCTTTTTTAGGAGGAGGAGTTAGCATCTGCTTCTCCATTGTCAGGGGGACTGTGGGCTGTATCAACACAGCCCCTGCCAAGTCACCCCAATATCCAGCTGCAGCTAGTCATGCCCAAGCTGCTGCCAGTGGCCAGGATCACAGTGTCTGTGGGAGCCAAAGAAGCCTCCAGGGAAACTGCAGGCCCCTTCTGCATCCTTGTTTCCCCCCTGGGAGCCAGGGGGGGCTAGCTGGGACCACCACACAACTTTTCCAACACCAGGAACCCTTCCTGTGTGTCTCCTAGATGGAGAAATCCAGCAGTGTAGCAGGGCTGGAAGGCAGCCCACAGCCTGAACTGTGGCAGTGAATAAAGTATAGGGGGTGGCAGGGCTTTTGGATAGGCCTCTGGAATGAAGGTGAGCCCCAGGACCAGTGAGTAAGGCTACAACATGATTAGAAAGCTTCCCTGCATCCTTTTCTCTTTTTTCGTTTTCCAATGAAAATCCATCCATTACAGGGCTCAGGGATTTTGTGTGAAGCTGTGACAATAAGGAGCTTGGGAAACTTCACAAGACTCTTGGTGCGGGGACTCAGCAACAAATGCTGATGCACAGAAAAGCAAACCAGAGCCCTTGGCAAGCTGTAGTCTGGCTGTAGAGGAAGGAGGATAATCTCATTTCTTTGCTCTTTGCCCTTTTAGCTATTTACAGAGCTTAATGCTGAGTTATTCCCAACAATGAGCTGAACAATTGAACTTCCATCTGGCCTGGTCAGGCAGATGCAACACTTGCTTCTCAAGTCACAAGGAGACTAGTCCCGTGATTTCTTTTTTTCCCCATCTTGAACATACACTATTTACCTCTACCCTGTAACAGAGAAGATATTTACACTTGGTAACATAAACCGTAGTTCCTGCTTACCAGCCTGCTTTAATCTGATCACCTAAATCCTTGGGCACAGTGAAACAGGGGCACTGTGAGCACAGCTGGTGTTGCAACCTTTGGATCTCTCTGTGCACGGCATGATGCAGAGCCTACCAGCTAATGACCTGTTTTTCTTGGGAGGCATTCCTTTCTGCCTTCCTGCAAGCCCACACCACAGGGCCAAAACTGCAGCCATGCCCTTGGGAGACATATCTTCTCTCCCTGACTTTCAAAGCAGCTTCAGGTTGCTCTTTGCAGTAGCCAGGGACCCAAGTCATCACCAGGCTGCGGCAGTAGTACTTGCCGCTACCCTCCCTCTTCCGGCCTGGAAATAGTGGGAGACAGGGAACATGCAATGGGAGACAGGGAACAACAGAAAAATAACAACCCCCAAACCCCAACACAACAAAGAGAAGCTCTTTTGTTCTTAACACCATTCTGTCCTCTAATCTATTCATGTCTCAGTCTTACATTTTTGTTAAGCATTCAGCTGCAGAGAAAGAATGGATTGATGCTTGTATAGGCACAAATGTCTTTGTGTGCGAATTGCATTTTGAGATACAGATATATCCACATGAGAACAATGGCTGTATTAAAAGTAGACAGAAAATAGCTCACAGACTTAAGATCAGTTAGCATTTCTCCTCTAACATTCAAAATGAGCCCCCATTATCTGGTTTAGGTGTCAAAAGTTCTCCTGGCAAATTCAGAAGCACTGAGAGGGAGAGACTAACACTCTACACCAGTGCTGTCCTGGCAAGATACCTCCTTCCCTTTTCTGTTGAAAGAGCACAGGTTCTAGTTTGGTCTGTGCTGGAAAATCCAAAATTGAAGTGGCTCATTCAGTTAAGATGGCAGGGAATGATGCCCCAATTGATGGGAGCCCTTTCAGTGATAAAATTTCTCTGTGTATGAGTCACAGGAAATTATAATCACTTCTTACAGAGACTGTAGAACACAATGAGATATCTGAGCTACAAACAGACTTCAGTTATTCTTGAAAGACAGACAGACCCTCAAGCTGACACGATTGGAGAAAATAAATATCCTTTTGTCTGCACTGCTGGTGGTAATTTCCCATTAGACAGGAAAATTCTTCTTTGATGAATGAATACTGTCTACACATTAGAAGAGGAGCTACTGTGTATCTCCTAATAGCTCTTGCATGCTTGGGCTCAGCTTCATGTGAGGCCCTTAAGCCCCTTTAGTATAATGTGGTAGCAGTCATTAGTGTACTGCATTTTTCATTGCAGCATTTGAGAAAAGGATGGGGCATATAAAAATAATTTTGAGCGACTTCCCACTCACCTTGAAGTTATGTGGCTGGGTCAAAAACATTTAGCAATCTGTGTTCTCAGTCTGCAGATAGTCCTTTCCAGTCTAGAGGCTTCAGGAGAGACACTTGCACTGGAGACAGATTTTCCATTTGTGATTATTTGTGCAATTTCATAAGTTAATAACTTTTCTGTTTTGCATTTGCTTTGCTTTTCTACAGTGGTAATTAAATCAAAACCAGAGCATCACATAGAACAAAGTCAAGCACTGTTTGCAGAAGCCAAAGAATATCATATTAGTGTCTTTGACATGCTTTGGTCCTTTTCGAAGACCCACCAAGTCAATCATTTCCTTCCCACAGAACTGTGATAACAAGTATTAATTCTACAAACTGTCCCTTTCGCAGCAGTGTTGCATTTCTGCTTGTTGTTTTTCCTGGGACTGGTACAGGATTAAGCTTGGCCTAGAGATGCCTGGGTCACCCCATGGCATCCTTTCGGCTGCTGGAAAGTCACCTTTTCTGGAACTACACCACACCAGGGGTCAGTTGGGAGTCAGGTCAGCCGGTGGGGGGAGCGTTTGGACAGTGGTTTTTGTCTGGATGTGATTTATTTAGCCTTACATTAAAAAAAAAATAAAAGGAAGAAACAGGAGATTCTTAATCATGTAATTCTACTTTTATAGTCACCACAGCTATTTGTGGCACATACACAGTGGTTAAGAAAAAGATTTTATTAATTTATAGCAAAAATGCTAACAACCTTGTTTAAATTTTTGCTAATGTTTTTATTTGAGAGATTAAAAAACCCAAACAACAAAACTCCCAACATTAAGAAAAATAAGCGGAAGAGCTACCGGTGAGAAATAGTCTGGATTTACCACTCAACAGTGGCATCAGTCTGCACACAAGCCAGTTGCAGGCAGAGATGTGGCAGAGATCAACATGGTACTCATAGACCAAATGCGATACAGGAAACAGCAATCCCAAGAATCAGAAATAAAGGCCATAGAACCCCGACAATGCCCCATCTGAGCCTTAGTTCCAATGAGAAACATAGGCAAAACTAATGTTTTAGGCTCATCCTGCATTGCAGATGGAAACTGAACTTAAGTTTGTGGCTGCTAAGGAACTTGGTGGAATGGCCAGGCTTTGCTACTGAGCAATAGGCTGAGCATGTGACATTTCGGTTTTGCCAGCTCACTGTGTTACTATGGAGTCCTCAGTTCAGTGGATGATGTTTTAAGGCAGGGGGGTAGCTGTGGGAAAAAGAGGACCATGACTTGCTTTGTAAGTACTAAGAGGAAGCTGAAAGTCCAACAAGAATTATGGCCTCTTCAGTACTCCACAGCCACAGGTACAGCAAACATCGAATATATCATGTACATAACATTACTTATAGACTCTACATGTAAAATGTTAACCAATTTATCATGGAAATCTGGTAACAAGAACATTGCCATATAAATTCACACTTCAAGAAAGGCTAAGTGTGGAAGCCTCCTTTGCAAGAGGATTCTCAGTCAGTGTTTTCTATATAAAATATTGAAACGATGACAATTTTTTCTCTGAATCTCAGTTCATTATTGGGTTAGTTCTCAGGAACGGAAGAAAGGTTCTTCTTAGCAAATGTGTGAGTATTCAGAATATGAATTCACAATCTAGGTATTAAATGATTTAAAAAAAATTGCCAGCTGTCAGGAAGTCTTACTTAGCCACAATATTTTAAAGCAGTAAAGGAATACAAGGCATAGAAAATCTTTTCCTGCAGCACTTGTAAATGTAAAGATATTCATGTTAAATGCAACAGAACTACTAAAGAATAAACTGATTGTGGAACAGAGAAATGAGAGACTAGCGATGCATTCAACCATCTTCCTTACAGTTGAACTCCAGCTGTTTAAAAACATACTGACTTCATAATTTGGAAAATGATGTCCCATAGGTAACTGGTCTGCATACTCCTATGAAAAATAGTGCTCCAAATGGCATGACACCCCTTCTTGAAAAGCTTTTATCTCCTCTCCACCATTATCTCCACAGTTTAAACAAAAGAACAACTATCCCAATGTAAAATGCTCTTTTTTTTTAATCACTAAATTAAGAAAGTTAAACAGTTTTAAAATGTAAACTTGCAAATAAACCATAACAAAATGTAATTAAGACTTTAAAATTTGAAACTCAGTATTAAAAACTCAATAGAAATAGAAAGGATTTTTTTTTTTTTCTTTTTTTTTTGGTTAAACGTAAGTAATTCAAGGCTGGTACAGACAACTGAAAAGGTAATACTTTGTTCTGTGCATCCTCCATGAAATGTAAAGAAGTGCATAGTAATTCCACTGGAGAACTTGCAGACATAGAGAAAGTAATTTCATTAGCAGTACAGGACATTTAACACACTTATTTTACAATGGAAAAATGTTACACATAAAACAGAAAAGTCCCAGTTGCATGACCAATGGTTTAGCAGGTGGACATGGCTAAAATGCTATGATTTTAAGACCATCTGAATGTGGTTACACTGTTTAATAAATCATTTTGAAACATTTCAGTATACATGTTTTGATACAAGAAGTCCTTGCAGTTTTGATTTTCCAGTTCAAATGGTGATGGTGTAGTTTTCTTGCTTTAAATATGTTCGTTTTAATTTCAAGAACAAATCATCACACACTTGTCAAACATTGGAAACATTACTGTAAATACAGCACATGATTCCTGAAAGAGCAAAGTTACAACCATCTACAGGTACATAATAATAAACAAAAAGTGCAATCCAATTTAAAAAAATCATGCTTGGCAAAAGCCAAAAATTAGATCACTGGCTTTCAGAATCCCACCAGTGTTTTCATGTCTGCAGTAAAATTATCGCTTTCTGGGTACTGCTGCAGCAGGATTCATTCGATCACAAATGAATTTCCTCTGCAATAGCACCCATATACTGTATGTACAGGTATGTATATATATTATATATATTTTATATATAAAAAAGCAAAAAACCAAACACCTGTCCTGATTGTATTTTTTTTATTTGTTAAAACATGAAAAAAAATGTTTTAGACAAAGAGGCCACTTCTGGAAAATAATACTTTTAATTGAATCAGGAGAAGACTAGTTAAAATCACATAGGATTTGCATTTTAAAAAAAGGAAAGCACTAGGATCAGTTATTGGCACTGAGTTACTATTTACAATGAACAGAGGTTTTGCAGTTTACATAACATCAATACAATGCAGTTTTGGAGTCTTTGATTAAAAAAAAAAAACAAGTGTTTTTCTCCTTTTCATTCAGGACATTCAGATTATTAGGACAAGTGGTCATAGGCAAAGGCTGCGGAAGTTCCCAGCTTCAGCCCCTACTGTGCACGGCGGTGCTGGAAGATGCTGCACTCTGGAGAAGTCGATCACAGAGTTGGAAGCTGAAGGGCAGGCGGGGCAGGGCTGAAAAACACCTGGTAACTGGTGACAGTGTCTGAAGACCGGGGATTTACAGGTTGTCACCGGGCTGGTACTGGGGTTCTGTTGCGGTGAAGTAGTCTTCAAGGAAACCCTGCAAATATTCAAAGGTTGGACGCTCCTCTGGGTCCTTTTTCCAGCAGTGGATCATAAGCTCGTGCAAGGAGATAGGACAGTCCTGAGGACATGGCATCCGATAACCACGTTCTACTTGCTCCAAGACTTCACGGTTATTCATGCCTGTAAAATGCAGATGAATCAACACTGTTAAATTACAGGCAAATTAACCCTGGTATATTTCAATCTACAATACATACAGCTTTCTTGATCATACAAATTTCTTTTGGTTCAGATAAGCAAAATGAAACCACCCCAGTGTCTTGGTTTATTTCTTCATCTACTGCAAGGTAATCTGGATTACTTTCTTTCCCAGCCAAGGTCTGTAAGATCCAGTGATGAGTAAAACACTGCTACCATGGTTACCCTCTTGGCTTACTCCCAATGGGCAGGATTTGGCACTTTCCCTCCAACAATAGTAACCACGAAATATTATGTTAAGTGGTGAAGGAAAATAAATGCATTACAACAAATACTATTCAAAATTCTAGAAATTAAGATAAATATTTGAAACCCTCACACTGAGTATGTGCATTTCTTGAACTGCTCTGTGGGGTCATTCTGCAGAGGCTTCAAGACAAATCCTGCTACTTAGGCTATCAAGGATGTACCAGCGTGCTACCAGCAGCATTACCTTCAAGGTCAGTTCAACAACTTACTGTTGCTGATCTCCACTCCCTTGATCTGTCTTTGCTCAAGTATATTCCACGGTTCCAACCCAGAACAGAACAAAATTGCTCAGAAGACAAGTCAAATACCAAGCAAAACAAAACAGCCCACTGCAGAACCATAGCGATCTCTCAAAAAAGGTAAAACGTTCTACTACCATCATGCTTGCTTCTAGGAGGCAAGCCATGCACTTTGCTACCTTGACTTTTCTGTGCAACACCTTCAACCCCTGATTCCTCTGCTGAAGTGCTTTTCACCATACATTAATTGCAGTCAACTTCAACTTTAGATTAAATACCTCTTCCAGGAATTCCTTTGGCACCACAGGCATGCAGAAGTATTTCAGAGAAGGTGTGCACACTGACTGTGAGCTTTGTGGCTTGCCAGTTGGCAAGCCCTGTATCAGTCCTCTGATGAAAAATACAGTGGGTCCTGCCAATCAGCTCTGCAGGAGAACTAGTAGGGACAATCAAGTTCCTCTGTGACCAAATCTAGAAATCAGCACCTTGATTTGCTCATTCCTTTGGCTTATCCTTCTCCTGGTTTCCATTACACCATTCTTCCCCAGTTCTCCTCCACTCTGTTCTTTCAGGATGTCCTCTTGAAGAATTTTCTTGTCCCACCTTCAGGACCCAGGGGATCATCTCTACCTTATATATTTGATAAACTTATTTGTAAGAAACAATTCAACCACCTTCAAAACAGACTCATTTGTCTGCACCCTAACTAGCGGGAATAATATCCTTACACTGCATAGCATTCAGGCTGGTGACTTAGCTGTATCCTTGGATTTGGTCTTCACTCTGTGTCCTCACATACTGTCTGTGTTTAATTCTTAAAGATGTTTTGAAAGAATCATCTGCAAAATACAGCCTTTCCTGACCATCCACATCTAGATTTTCATCTCATGTTATTATTACAAAACACTTTTTCCTCTTATCTTGACAGGGTAATTTCCTCCTGCTGATATCCATTTGCAGTGTTTTTCCAAGGATCATTTTTCTAGCCTGCAACTGTAATCACCTCTTACATGGTCTTGCACTTGCTCCTTGTTGCTTACAAAATACCAGCTTCTTGCCTTCACTTTCAAAGCCTCTCTCAGGCTGCCCCACTAGCATTCAGGCTCTCAGTTGGCCATGTCCTGGTCAATTCACTGTTCTGGTTAACTTACTGCAGCACCTTCGATTTTCAAACAAGCACTAATGTGCTGTTTCTTATGCTGACTGTTATGCATGGAGGAACCTTCCCAGAAGACTGCGTCATCCCCCCCCCAACCCTGTCCTTATCCTTTAGCAGTGATAATTGCAAAAATAAAGGTTAGATTACTGATTTACAATATTTTCCTACCTGCAGACCAACACTTTAAGAGTGGTTTCTTGTGTTTGATTTATCACCTGCATCACCCACTGTATTTTTGGTGTTAGATGCTTAGATGTTTATGAGTAGGAGCAAACACTTCGTATGGTCTGTGGTTAGGACTCCACAGAATGATGAAAATAGAGTAATAATGGTCCTCTGCAGACATCAGATTAGGCATAGAGTTAAGGTCCTCCTGTATTATTGACTCCAAACTGATGTTAGGTCACACAGGCTCACAACAAAACAGAAAAGCTTGCCACGCATTGAACACGTTTGGGTGTGTCGTGGTTTAAACCCAGTCAGGTAACTTGTTCACTCACTCCCAGTGAGTGGTGCCGAGCTGACAACAATCAAGGTCCGTGTCCGTCTCCCCCCGCCCTGCACCGGGGCTCTCCCCTTCCCCGCTCCCGGAGGAACGGGGAGGAGGATCGAGAGAGTGCAACTCCTACGGGTTGAGACAAGAACAGTCCAGCAACAAATCACCACCGCTACTATCAGCTAAAACAATGATAAGGGAAAATAACAAGGGAAGAGAATACGATACCACCGGCCAAGAAAACGAGTTCCACCCGGAAGCCCCTGTCCTTCCGGGTAACTCCCAGTTACCCCCCACCCCGGGCATGACGTGCTGTGGTATGGAATACCTCCCCGGCTAGCCCGGGTCAGGCGCCCCGTCTCTGCTTCTTCACAGCTTCCCCTCCTCCCTGGCAGAGCATGAGCCCCACAGAGTCCTTGGTCAGGGTAAACATCACTTAGCAACAACCGACAACATCGGCTTCACCAACACTGTTCTCAAGCTAGAAGTCAAAACACAGCACTGCACCAGTTAACACAAAGGAAAAAAACATGACTGCTACTGCTGAACCCAGGACAGGGTGTTCCTCATTATCCAACAAGAAAATTTTCAAACATATTTTACTTTTTTGATAAATTACAAAGCAACACTAGTGGTCTGTTAGTCATCACCAACCCAAAGGCAACATCAACACAAACCTCCTGGCCCTGCTGTCTTGGCATCTTGTTCATGTTGTGTTCTCAATATTAGTGTTTTAAATTTGTGTTTAGAACAAAAACCTGCACCCTTTTTTCATATCCTAGATTCACAGTCTTTGAATCAGCTGAATGACCTCATGTTTTGGGGTAAGAACTTCTGCTGTGCTCCCTTATGTATTAAAGAGTATGAAAATAGTATCAGCAGTAACTCTGTATATACCTAAACCACAATCAAACTGCATTCTTTGGTTTTGTTTTGGCAGTACCCCTTTAAGTACAACATGAGTAGAAGCAACAGCAGCAAAAAAGCTCCTTTCCAACTGAACTAAGATATCAAATGTTTGGTATTTTTATTCAGTGTATTACTCAGTGCTGCAAAGCACATTCCGAAACTTGATAACAAACTGTATGCTGGAGGAAAAACCCCAAGGAGAGAAAGGGGGGAGGAAAAACATAAACAGTTCTTCACTTCCTCTTAACAGAAAGAAAGATAGAAAAAACAACATAAAAGAGGCATTGTTGCCTAAAATCAGTCATTTTTTTTGTCCCTGGAAATTCAGTTAAGACAG